TTCAATCACCTCCTAGGAGTCCTCCGTTGTGCCTGACGTCGGTCAGCTCGTCCTATGTGCATCCCGAAAAGACTCACAGAAGGGTTCTTGCACACACAGCCTCTCTTGTCTCCTCCCCACTGCTCCAAGGCTCAGTCTCTCTTATGTCCTCCCCACTGGCCCAAGGCTCAGTCATTACCTGGGGACCAACTAGTCTCTCTGAGCCCTGCTCGGAGGCAGACCCCTGTCCAGAACCCTCCTCCTCTTCCAAACATGACTCAAAATCTCCCTCGCTGTCAGAGTCTGATAACAGCTCCCAAGGCTCTAGCCGAGTCACAACACCCCACCATGCAGCCAGAGCTGAAGAAGCTTCTTGGATGAGAAGCGAAACATCTTCAAAGAAAAACCAGAAAGTCCAGCTGCCTCTTGAAAAAGCACCTTTGGGAGAGAGCAAGAGATGAGTTAAGAGAAAATGGCAAGAAAAGGATAAGAGAGAATGTACAAAGGGGGAAAACCTGGACAACACTTTGTTTGTAAAAGGAATTTAAAATTTGTAAAAAAAAACAAAAAAAACACGTTATTACTAAAAAGAAAAAAGAAAAAAAAATCACCTTTGGGACAGTTGTGACCTGGATGATTGAGAATCTCCATAGACACGTGAAGAAAAATCTTATGCCAAGGAATGGCTCATATGAGGTTTTATGAAGAAGGTGTTTGAAGGCACGCCCAACCTTTCCGCTTTTTCCTTTTCAACAGGTGGAAGTACAACTGGTAATCCCTGTACCCCAACCAGGGAGATACGTGCTTCTGATGGAGTATGCCAATGAAGATACCCCACAGACCATTGAGGTATCTGTCAGCACACCACAGAAGGTTCCTCGGCTGGGCACTCTTATGATATACACCTGCAAATACAGGTATTTTCCCAAATAAGGAGACAAGGGGAGGTTGTGGATTTAATAATCTTTTCTTGTCTTTCCTTTTATTGTTACTCCAGATTTTCAATCAAACTTCTTAAATTTAGAATGGAGGTCAACTTGTAACCATTTGTTTGAATATTTCTCATCTTACAACTACCGTATTTTTCGGAGTATAAGACACATCTTTCCCCCTTCCCCCAAAAAGAGGGTGAAAATCTGGGTGCGTCTTATACACTGAATACAGCATTTTTGGCCTACCCAAATCTCACCCCCTTCACAAAAATAGACGTGCAGAGGGTTTGGGAGGCCAGCAAAGTGCTCCTGGGTGCTAGGGAGGGCAAAAACGAGCAAAAAATGGGCCATTTTTTGTTCATTTTTGTCCCCTCGCAGCCCCCACGAGCACTCTACAAGCCTCCTAAAGGCTATGCATGTCCTTTTTTTTGCAAAAAACTTGCCTGTTTTTGTGAAACTTGCCCGTTTTTGTCCCTCAGCCCCCAGGAGCACTTTGAACCGCTGAACTGCAGATAACAGTCAGCTGAAATGGCCTGCAGTACTGCACCCTAACCACTGAGCCATCTTGGCTCATGTCTCACTTAGCAACATAAATTTTGGGCTCAATTGTGGTCACAAATCGAGGACTACTTGTGTAAAATATAGAACAAAGAAAAAATAGCAGGGGAAAAGGAGAAAGTGTAGGATAAGGGGCAGTGGTGAGTTGCAGGCAGTACGCCCCGGTACGGGCGTACCGGAGCCTGCCTGGAGCACTGGATACCATTCTGGTACAATGCTCCGGAGGGCCCACCCGCCCGCCCGAGCTCCTTACCTGTCTTTTAAGCCTTTGGTGCTTCCATGCATGTGCATGGCACGTACAGCGCCTGCGTGATGTTCCGCCGAACAGCTGAAGCGTCGCGGAGGCTTGCGGAGGCGTCGCAGGCAGGTACGACGGTACCGGTTGGAACGGGATTCGGAACCCACTACTGATAAGGGGGAAAGAAAAAGAAAAGCATTGACTTCTGACACCTTTTGGTGAAATCATTTATGACTTTACAAATAGTCCAATCCTTGAAAATTGACTACAGGTAGTCCTTGACTTACGACCACAGTTGAACCCAGAATTTTATGTTGCTAAGTGAGACATTTGTTAAGTGCCTTTTGCTCCATTTTATGAGTTTTCTTGCCACATTTGTTAAGTGAATCACTGCAATTCTTAAATTAGTAACACAATTGTTAAGTGAATCTGGCTTCCCTGTTGCCTTTGCTGGTCAGAAGGTCACAGCCCCAACCGTCATAAAGATGAGTTAGTTGCCAAGCACCCAAATGTAAACCATGTGGCCACGGGGATGCTGCTACGGTTGTAAATATGAAAAACGGTCATAAGTCACTTTTTTCATAAGTCACTTTTTTCATAAGTCACTTTTTTCATAAGTCACTTTTTTCATAAGTCACTTTTTTCATAACTCACTTTTTTCATAAGTCACAAGGCCCAGAAGAGGCAAGACAAGCATCGAACTCCAGAGATTTTTTTCAGCGTTGTTGTAACTTTGTGTGGTCACTAAATGAACTGCTGTAAGTCAAGGACTATCTGTAATCTGCATCAGCCTTTACCGCAGTTGGGGGTGGACATAATGTGCTGTTTAAGATTCCCAGCCTTGTAAATATCCAAGACAGCAATCTGGCCAAAAGTCCACATCCTCAGGACAAGCCATGTATGAGACGAAAATAGCACGCACATCCTGACCTTCGAAGATCTATTTAAACAACTGGACAGTGTTTACATCCAGGATGGATGGATTACCCTGTCTGGAACTGCTGGTTTTGCAAATTGGAATACAGAGCGTGACCTTAATGATAGGAAACGAGGCCCTGGGATATCCTTCAGAAGCATTTCCCTGCCCATTCAAAGCTCATAAGGGGTCTACTGTATTTTTCAGAGTATAAGACGCATCGGAGTATAAGACACACCAAAATTTTGAAGAGGCAAATTTTTAAAAAAAGTTTTTGCACTCTGCAGACCTCCCAAAAACGGCCCCATTTTTTGTCAAAAAAACGACATCCATAGCCTTTAGGAGGCTTGCAGAGTGCTCCTTGGGGCTGGGGGGGGGGGGGCAAAAATGAGCAAAAATGTTTTCAACTCATTTCTGCCCTCCCCAACCCCCAGGAACACTCTACAAGCCTCCTAAAGGCTATGCACAGTCATTTTTGCAAAAAGGGGGGGGTTCGGGAGGCCAAAAGGGTTGTATTCAGTGTATAAGATGCACCCAGATTTTCACCCTCTTTTTTGAGGGAAAATAGTGCGTCTTATATTCCCAAAACTACAGTATATTAAAACACAAAATGGGAGTGGAAAGACACACTGGGAAAATGCCACCCTTGAGTTTAACCACTTCTTTTTGTTTTGTCTTGCAGTTTCCTTTGCCGTGGGATCGTTGTCGATTCTCAAAACCGCTTGGCAGCATTTGAACTCGACACTGAGGGGAGAGTCCAGTTCACTGCAGGTCTGGACCGCTTCTTTCTGGTAAGTCTTAAGAGGAGAGCTTTCCCAGCAGAGGCACAACTATCCGATGCAACTTTGAGCATCTTAAATTAGGATGGTTAAACCGAAGGGTTTCAAATAATAGATAAAATAATTCAAAATAATTTTGGACCCAGAAGAGGCAAGACAAGCATCAAACTGCTTATGTTAATGTCTTGTTGTTTCCAATCCCGCTGTTGAACATCAGGCATTTACCGTATTTTTCGGACTATAAGATATACCAGAGTATAAGACAAGCACCAAGATTTTGAAGAGGTAAATTAAAAAAAAACAATGTTTTTGTCCTTCCCGGCCCCCAGGAGCACTCTGCAGACCTCCCAAACCCTCTGCATGCCCCGTTTTTCACAAAAAAACGGGGCGTACAGAGAGTTTGGGAGGCTTGCAAAGTGCTCCTGGGGGCTGGGAAGGGCAAAAACACGACGTGTGGAGTTTTTTGTTTTGTTGTTGCAAAAACAGGGTGTGTAAAAGGTTTTGGAGGCCTGTAGAGCACTCCCGGGGGCTGGGGAGGGCAAAAACACCCCCGTTTTTTGAAAAACTGGCCCATTTTCACTTTTGAACTGCTCTTTTGTTTTGAAACCATCCCCCCCCCTCTCTCTAAAGAGCAAATTGACAGAAACAGCTGCTTGTTCTCTGCTCCATTTGATCTTCGTTCAGTGAACAAAAGGGGGGGGGGGGAGAGAGGGTCCCGTCTTTTTTCCCCCCTGGAAGGTTTCTTATCCTCCTACCGCCTCCAAACACCCCCCTCCCCAACCCTGGGGGTGGGGGGTTGTACAAAGCTTAGGGAACGTGTTGCCATAGCAGGCAGAGAATGACTAATCAGTTTCTTTGTTGGGAAACCTCCCTCCCACTCCTCTTTTCCAAAGGTCTGTTGCGGGTCAAACCAAGAGATGTTTCTGTTTATTGCGCACTGTTGTTTGCCAACAGGTGCCCTTTTCCCTTTGAATGAATGTAGCAAAGTTGGTCTTTTTTTTTTAATGTGAGTGGTAGGGAACTAGGGCCCCCTTTATGACCTGTCGACTTCAACTCCCAGAATTCCTACGTCAGCCATGCTGGCTCAGGAATTCTGGGAGTTGAAGTCCCCCCCAGGTCATAAAGGTGCACACCTGTTTTATGCATCCGTGCTGACTCAGGAATTCTGGGAGTTGAAGTCCCCAAGTCATAAAGGGGTCATGATTCCCCACCCCTGTTTTATACATCCATGCTGGCTCAGGAATTCTGAGAGATGAAGTCCACAGGTCATAAAGGGGCCCTAGTTTCTCACTCCTGTTTTATGCATCCATGCTGGCTCAGGAATTCTGGGAGTTGAAGTCCCCAAGTCATAAAGGTGCCATAATTCCATACCCTTATTTTATGCATTCAACCTCATCTCTACAGAACCGCTTTGATTTTTGCACCAGGAAATAAACCCTAAATCTTCTTCTTTTTCTCATCCTTTTTTCTCCCTCCCCTGTCTTTAGTACAAAGTGTACTTGGTCCCTTACGAGCAATTCACTGTGGAGTTTTTGGAGCCAAAAGTTCATTGCATCAGTACCCATGGAACGTTATCGCTGAACAGGTGAATCATCTTTATTTTACTGGTTTATTTTCATGTAATTTGTATAACCACCCAATTCGCAAATTGCAACTCTTAAGTGGATAGCCTGGGATTCAAAAGACGATAAGCAATAAACAGCTTGTTTACAAAATATAAGAGCTAATTAGGACTGTACGTACATCATTGTAGGACTGTCACGTAAAGCATTTTTCAAGTGTGTGTTTACAATGATTGCGATGTCTGGTATGTTGTCTGGGTTTCCTGTTTGATGTTCCAGGCTGCTATTTGTCTGAAATTTAGAGTTTAGAGTTTTATTTCATTTGTATGCCGCCCTTTTCCCTAAGGGGACTCAGGGCGGCTCACAACTCAAAAAGGGAAGGGGGG